ACAAAAACTATGACGTAAATCTATTGACATTTTCGTCAACGAATAAAAACGAGACGAAAATGTTAGGGAGGGACGATTTGGGATGAGATTCATTCAGAACGAATCTGCTGCGTGGTTCAGAGGTTAGATGCGTAGCCTACATATGAACCGGCGGGACATAAGCTAACATTCACTTGCTGCACGTCGCATAAAACGTTAAAAAAATGTCAATATGTGGGAGTAAGAGAAGAGCAGACATATGGATAAATCTGACGACACAAGAGAGAACTCAATTCGGTCCGGTTTTCTGAGCGCAGACACTGAAGCACACAAACAGAAAGCGCCTCACAGCGCGCGAGTACTCTTTCGCATCTCATGAACCGAGAATTGCACACAAAATGATGTCGAATTGTCCATTTTGACGAGTATTCACGTAAACACAGTTGATTATGTCTTAAGTGAACGTAAACAGTAGGGAGAACGTGTGTCAGCACATTGCATCCATTGCAGCTGTGCGTTCGGTTTTAAAGGGACAGCAGCCTAATTTAGCTGCTATTGTCCGAGTCATTGATGTTAATCAAGCAACAAAAGAAAGACAGAAAATCACTAACTGCTTAATCAAGCAACAAAAGAAAGACAGAAAATCACTCACTGCTCTTGACTGAAAAACTTTAGTAGCCTTAAAGATTAATCTAAATTTATTTATAGTAATAAATATGTCTGCTTGAAAGAATGAAGAATATGGTAAACAGGTTGCTATAAAGAATGCATAATTAGCCTATATAACCATTGGTATTTAATTAAAAAAAAGATCATGTTCTTGTTCTTTATGAGAAGTGGTTTAATTTAATTTTAACATAAAGGCATGTTGTGTGTCACAGCAGTTAAATCGGTGTCTATCATGATAAAACCTTAATATCAAACCTATATAATGAGTTTGGAAATTTTAGAGTAATGCTTAATAAATGCACTGTAACTAAACCTATTAGATTTTAGCCGACTAAATTTACTGTAGATTTAGTCGACTAAAACTAGACTAAAATTACAAACAATTCAGATGACTACAATATGACTAAAACTAAATGGCATTTTAGTCACAAATTATGACTAAAACTAAATAAAAATTTGCTCTCAAAATTAACACTGCTTTGAATAAGTACACCATTTTCTTTTTACATTAACAGTGCCATATTCATTACCATGCCAATCTCTTTGAGAGCTGTCATGACAGCATGTTTTGCCAGATTGCATCAGAGTCTTCCAGGTGTGTTCTTGCATAGCGCAAACAAGACTGAGTGTGGCACTTTTTCAGGAAAGTCTTCTTTCTTGCCACCCTGCTATAGAGGCCAGCTTTGTGTAACGACACATGAAAGTGTCTGATCATACATAAAGCCACAATACTAACTTTGACAAGAAGGAGTTTAATCGTTAAAAAAAAAAAAAAGAGTAGTGGGTCTACATTAATGGTATATAGCCTGACATGGTGATACATCCTCTGATAATCTCCTGAGATCCAACAGCTAATGCCAGCACATTGCCTTGCACCTTACCTATTGGTGACTTGACAACTGAGTACAGGCATTTCACTCACGTTGGATGTATCAGTGTCACATTTGCATAGGCCGTACTATTTAAATTTGTGATTGGTTGACTGCAAAATTAAAATCTTAAACAGAAAGATAAAATAATGCTATTAACTGTTTAATGGTCATTTCAAATAAGCGTTTCTGTTCAGGATGATTAAACTTGATTTTGTTTTTGCTTTTGTTTATGCTTCTGTTAAAATTTAGTTTGTTTCAGGTTTTTGTTTCATTCCTTAAACCGGTTCATAGCCTTGATAAAAACAATAGTTTTGATCAGTGCTCACAGCAGGGACAGCTTAGTATTTAGGGACCTAGAAAACATTTTCATGTCCAGTTGGCACCTGCCCCCATGGCCTCAAGTGTCTGTAGCAACACATTGTCTCCGCTTTCCCTCCTTTCTTTGTCCTGCTTAGGTTCAAGTCTAATCCCCTCAGTAACGGCAGTAGAGGTTAGATCTTGGTCACATAGTTGCCTGGAAATAAACCTTCTTTATCTCTCAGTTTCCCTGTCCACCATCCAGAGACATCTAGACAAATACATAATGCATAAACATCAAAACTGCTATGTTCTGCCACTAAAAATAAATTGTTTGTGAAAATGCTCACGTGCCAATTTCACACAAACAAAAAATGTTAATCAACAAGACCCACAATGTATCTTTAAAATGGTCTGAGATTCAGATATATGTAAAATGCCCGCAATATTCCCAAAACTATATTCACAAAACATTAAGAATAACATTTTTGTCATTGCCATTTTCTAGTTTAATTTTTTTTATATATTTTGATTTATATTATATATAATAAATCTGCCACAAGTCATTAGAAAAAGTATATGTATATATATTATGCAAAATAAACATTTTGTTAGTTTTCACCTTCATGAGTGATGTCAATGATGTCATCTTCGTTGAAACTGAGCTCATCTGTGTCTTGGGCGTCATATTTGTAAAGGGCTTTACATTGAGGCACCTGGGGCTTCAGCTTGGGGGCCTGTTTGGGCCGAACACTTCCTGGAGCATGAAAAACTGTAAGTGTGTGTCTGATCTTCAGCAGCATTTGATCATCTATATTTTGTTGGTTCTTATAGTCTGTGTATTGGTTTAAAAATGTATATTCTTACAGTCTGTTGTGTTTGACTTATTAACGAATTATGTTGGCTTGATAAATTATTTTTATTTATTGATTCTGTTTGCTTTATCTTTTATAACTGATACAACTTACAGTTTTCCTAAAAATGACAATCAAACCTCAGAAAAATTCCACAGACTGTCATTGACGGGATGTTCAAATGAGCCAAAACTGTTCAAACTACAAATGTGTTACACGTTTACACAGCACGTTTGCACTTGGCAAATCGAGTGACTCCTCTATCTGGATGACCGATCGGATCTCTTTTTCCAGCGCAATATTTAAATAAGTCTTCTGACAGTTTGGGAGAGAGGTGGCGGGTTTTGCGTGACGTCGACCTGCGAATGCAGACACGATGGCTGGATTGCGTTTACATTACATGGAGATCTGATCACAATGCGTCCTCCACTACCTCTGGACTAGAACACACTGATCGGATAACATTCCGATCAGAAGCGCGTTTACACTTGTCTTTTCAATGTGTATGTGGACAACATCCGGATACAGGTCGCATGATAATGCCAAGTGTAAATGCAGCCTAATCTATCTATCTATCTATCTATCTATCTATCTATCTATCTATCTATCAGATACCATACATCATTTCCAGTGTGTGTGTAAGAGCTCAGATCTTCTGCAGACTCACTTTTCGGGACAATGGCCCGCATCTTCTTCCAGACTCTGAACAGCAGGTTGTCCAAGTAACGTGGCACATGAATCAAAGCTCCAGAAGGAGTCTGTGGATCCGGCTGTGATGAGATCTGGACTCTGGAAGAACATTCAGGATCAGAACTGCAGTGGCTTTGGATCAGAAGCAGAGAGAGCAGAGACAGCAGCAGATCACTCACCTTTCCATTGAGACTGGAAACTCCTGCAGAACAAACACACCATTGATCATCAACAACTCAATCAAGCATCAATCAATCAATCAATCAATCAATGATCTGAAATCAGACCTTGAGAAAGCAGACGTCACTGGCTCTCATCATCTCCTCCATGTCTTTGATTGTGTGTGAAAGAGCTGAGATGTGTCTGTTCATCTCCTCCAGCTTCTCCTTCATCATCTGCTTCTTCTGCTCCTCTTCCTCCCTCAGTGCAGTGATTGTAGCTTCTTCTTCATCTCTGAGAAACTGATGAAGCTTCTCAAATTGCTGTTTAATCTGACCCTCCGTGTGCTCAGCTTGAGACTGAAATCAAACCACATTCTCTTCAATCATCTCCATCAACACAATGACATCATTCAGATCTGAGATAAACTCTGATACCAACATATAACGGATCCAGAAGCAGATTGATGATCGTCATTTACAAAAATAATCAACTGGAATCCATTATATTAAATATATCAGATCATAACTGTATATAGTGATCCCACAGCTGTAATGAAAATGACTCTTGATTCTGTCAACCTTGATGTGTTGAACTGTTTCCTCAAACTCTCCTTTCATTGTTTCATTATGTTGAAGTTTCTCTTGTAATGATTTCAGTGCTGTATTGAGTTCCTCCTAGAATTGAACAAAAAGTACATAAAACACCAGATTACAGTGAAGAAAATAAGAGAAGACAATACAGTGATTTGATCATATTAGGGATGCACCAATATGAAAATTTAAACCGATACGATAACAGATAATTCTTTAAATATGAAAGCCGATAACCGATATGTTGGCCGATAAATTTAAATCCAAATTTTTATACAATTTTTGAGAGCCTGATTACCAAGAAAGTCTCACCATCAAAAAACACTTCAACATAAATCAAACATAAAGCAGCCTTACAAATAAATAAAATAATGCTTAAATAATGCAAACAAGTCACTGGACAACTTTACTTAAGTGTAAAAAAAATTAAAAAAAATAATGTGCCATGGATAAATTAAACAGAATAACCTCCGCACCGACAATAATGAAATTATTTGAATTAAACCATATTGTTGATGAAAATAATAAGATACAAATAAAAGTGGTGGTTATTATTAATAATATATCAATGATTTTGAAAAAGAAGTATCTTAAATTAATACCACTGTTTCAAATATCAGCATTGCTGTTTGAGCTTCTGCGCTGTAGCTGAGGAGCAATGAACACCAGTAAACTGAAGCGCTTTGTTAGCGGGTTAATTATGCTATATGAGAATGAGAACATTATACAACATAAACATAATATTATAAATTATCTATGCACAAGGTCAAGGTCAAGTTTATTTGTATAGCCCTCTAAAACAACATACTGTAAATGCTGACCAAAGTGCTGCACAACATACGAGACAAAAACATCCCTCATACAATAGATCTAAGTGTTCTCTCAGGAGAGTAGGAATGGAGAAGATCTGAAATATAAGTAGGGGCAAGACCATGAAGTGATTTAAATACAAATACTAAAACCTTAAAATCAACTCTGAATTGAACAGGTAACCAATGAAGTGACGCTAACACACGTGTGATATGTTCTCTCTTTTTTATCCCCGTTATAAAAAAGAGCCGCGGCGTTCTGTACTAGTTGCAAGCGCGAGAGCGAGGACTGATTTATTCCAGCGTATAGAGCGTTACAATAGTCCAACCTGGTTGAGATGAATGCATGAATAACGGTCTCCAAATCACTAAAGCTCAGAATATTATTTAGCTTGTGGAGTCCCCTAAGCTGCAGAAAATTGGCTCTAACTACAGAATTGATGTGTTTGTCAAATTTTAACTCCGGGTCAAGGGTAACTCCCAGATTTTTCATTTTATCGTGAATGTTTTCTTGAAGGGGGCCCAGGGTAGAACTTAGATTATTTAAAAGGTGTGAAGGGCCAAACAACATAACTTCAGTCTTTTTCTGATTTAGTTGAAGGAAATTATTGTCCATCCAAACCTTAATGTCCTCTAAACAAGCTAGCAGAGAGGACACTGAATCAGTACCTGATTTTAAAGGAAAATAGAGCTGAGTATCATCGGCATAAATATGATATGAAACTTTATGGGACTCAAAAATTAAGCGGAGAGGGAGTAAATATAAAGAAAATAAGATTGGACCCAGAATTGAGCTTGATGAAAATTCTCCAATTTCCACTGAAAAACTCCTATTTGTGAGATATGATGCAAACCAATCTAATGCAACATCACGAATGCCAACTTCAAGGTCTAATCTCTTTAACAGGATACGATGATCCACTGTATCAAAAGCCGCACTTAAGTCCAATAATAGCAGAATAGTACAGTTGCCAGAGTCTGCAGATAGTAAGAGGTCATTTACTACCCTTAAAAGTGCAGATTCAGTACTGTGTTTGGCTCTGAAACCAGACTGAAAAGGATCCAGAATGTTGTTAGAAATTAAGTACGGGGAAATTTGATTTAGTACACACTTTTCCAGAACTTTGTGCAAAAAAATTAAGATTTGATATGGGCTATAGTTATTAAAATCAGAGGGCTCGAGATTTGCTTTTTTGAGTAAAGGATGGACCACAGCCTGTTTAAGGCAAGATGGAACAGTACCTGTTTGTAAGGAGCTATTAATAATAGAAAGAAGACTTGGCAACACAGAGGACAGAACATCCTTTAGTAACTTTGTGGGAATAGCATCAAGAGAGCAAGTGGTTGATTTCATGTTAGAAATAATGTCCAACAGCTCAGAGTGTGAAATAATCTGAAAATAAGAAAAAGCAGAGGGGCAAATATTCACATATTGATAATTCTGTGTTAAATTACCAGAGATCTGTGCCCTAATTTCAGCAATTTTGTTTATAAAGAAGTTACAAAACTTCTAGGCTAGGTTCTGGACCAGCCGGTCTTGAAGGGTTCAATACTGAGTTTAATGTAGAAAACAGTATCTTTGGGCATTGGGAATATTTCAAAATTATGTTAGAAAAGTGTTTTGCCCTTTCCAAGGAAACGTCTCAGGTTACTTATGTAACCATGGTTCCCTGAGTAGGGAATGAGACACTGCATCCTCTAGGGGTCGCTATGGGGTATGCCTCGTCGTGACCCGTGTCTGAAGCATACATTGAAAAAACACCAACGTCAGACGGCCTTTATCCCCTACGGCCAAAGGCCTAGGCTACATACCCAACTTACCTGTTAGGGCCAGACGGGCCAGACTC